GGTTTTGTATAACGTTGCATATCTTGATCTTATTCTAGTGTGGTGTCCACGCTGTTACCTGTGTCGCTGGTTTTCAGTCTGTCAGTGCAGGTTTAAAAAAATATGACTGTATCTGCAAGTAATGTTAAGTTTTTCAGAAATTCACTTCTCGTCGATATCCTTCTCGACGTCACACAGTGATGGATGGTAATTTAGTTTCTAAAGAGGGACTCCCACTAGAATCTCTTCAGGTCTTGCAGTCTTTTACTCCTGAAGAGTTCAGGCGTTTACCAACGGATTCGAATTATGCAGTGCAGTCAACAAAGCCACATGGGTCTAGTTCACCAGGCAAGTGATGCATTAAAAGCAAAAAACCTTTATTCTTATTATGTAAGCAGCTTTTCTGTGGTACCGGTTTCACTAATTAAGTTCAAGGCGAGGATTATGTTGTACTGTTTTCCGCCTTCAGAGTTGTGGAAGGCGAGATGGGGGTTCTTTATTCACTGCAGCTTCTCTTGTCATTTCGCTTAGAGGCGTGTGGACCTAAAACGTGTTAATGCGGGTTTTTGAAAGAGGCTACGTTAATTTTGACTAATTTTTTACAATGATTTACTGCAGTGCAATAACGAGCGACTGTGGGGAAACACCTTTTTTAATGGTTTACAGAAATGCTGTTGATTTTTAAAGTTGTATTTTTATTGTTAAGTTTGGTGTATTGGAGGTAGGTTTCTGTGGTGAAGGCAGTGTCTAAATTCTTGCGTCAGGATTTTCTTTCAACGCATTTATTACATTTTTGGTGCAATGGAGAGGACTGAGTTTTTTTGAAGGTTTCTGCATGAACAGTGAAGTATCTCACGTTGTTCTTTTGCAACCAATGTCGCTTACCGAAACCGACAAATCTCAGCAGTCGTCAAATCCTGTATGTTCTCTACGTGTGTTGATGTTCTAAGTCACTGAAAACTGTTCTCTCTTTTACTTCCTTTCTTTTTATGCAGCTCTAACTTCTTTACTGCTGTTTAGCGTAATATTGCTAAATCGTCAATGTAGGGTTTGTTACCTGGTTCCGAATCTTCTCCATGTGCAGCTTCAAATTCTGAATGCGGCGATATTCGGTCATATGAATGGGTAGCTTCCGAACCAGTTGTTAAGGCGCCAGGTGTGGAGCGGGTGAGTAATGAAATTTTTCATTATGATTAGAAGTTCTGGAAGTTTTCAACTGTCTCGAAAGCCACGCAACTCTGCAAATTCAGGGAAGTTTATGTGGTAATCAAACTTCTGTAAGCAGATTATCAAGTGCTCTTTATTCTGGCGGAGCACTGCTTTGTGTTTCTGGTACTGAAAAAAATTCGAGAAATGGGCATCAGAATATGCGTCATTCGGGCCGTTTTGGTGGTTCTTGTGTGCTGTTGTAGTTTTTTTTTCAGTTAGTATTACTTTATTGGATCGATCTTGTAATTAAAAATTCTGGGTAAATATAATGAATAGCTTTATGGTACTTCAAGTCGACTGTTGATTTTATAAGTTTTATTCAGAATTCAGTGCTCAGCTTTAGTCTATTTAATTTTATTCCAAAAGTATTTATATTAAATTATGAAATGTGTACGGTAGTTTTGTTACGAGCTAATTGTTTCAGAAACGCACATAAATAGTTTGGTTTAACTGTTTGTTAGTTTTATGTATTTCATTTTTGTAACTACAAAGTCTAAATGATATATGTGATCTGTTGCAGAGTTTGGAACGACTCGTCTTAGGTTAAAAGTTTATTAAGTTACTTTTACTTTGCCCTTTTCTTTTTTCTTTTGTTTTGTTGAAGTCTTTCACATGTATCTTGTGTTGGTCAGGTCGTGGTCTTGATCACCTTTGCTCATATATGTTGTGCAATAATCATCGGTTTATTATCAGTGATTCATGAATGTTACTTCGTTTTTCTTTTTAAAACATTAGTTAAAACATTGTGCGGGCTAGCTGAAACTTTTGTTTCGTCAGGTAACATGGTTTTTTTGGCTGCCTCAGGTGCATAAATTTTTTTATTAGGTGAGCAAAAATCTGTTTTGCGACAAAGAAGTTAAGGTTTTGTTTCTTATTGATTGTTACAGTTTGTTAAGTTTTCTGATGAAACTTAGCCTGCATCGTCTTATTTTTATTTATTGCAGTTTTCCTCAAGGCAGTTTATTGTAGGTTATTTTTCTGTAATTCTAGCCTTGTTTTCGTTCTTTTGGTATTGTTAAATTAAAATGTCGTGAAGCCTGGTTTCTATCGACACATGTATGAAAGAACAGCAAAAATTTCAAGCTTTTTTTTTTTTAGTTTCAGTGAGGACCAATTCATCTACTTTGGAGGTCTGATTTCGAACTGCTGTGAACTGTTATTTACTATCAGGTTGTTTTCATAAGAGGTTCAAGATCACGAACTACTTGTAAACTATTTACTGGGATTGCTTTTGCGACACCTCATTTTATAGATATTTACCGTTTTTTTATTTGGGGGGGGGGGGGG